TCTAGGTGGTGTGAACGGGTGAGAGAGGACGGTGGCGTGGGGAGTCTGTTTCCTGTAGACCCAGCGCAAGTTTTTCAGATAAGCCCAGATTTGTCTGTACTGTTCCTGGCGGTGCCAAGGCCTTCTGGAAGTGCGACCAGGCTGCAAGTACAAGCAGACATCAGTTCAGTTCCTGAGCAGGGCGGGGCTGGACTGGTGTTGGTTGAGCCTGGCCTTCCCCCAGAGTTTAGTCACCCGTGTACGTTTCTCAGTTCTCTCTGAGACAGCTTCTAGGAACCAGGGCACTGACCAGTATAGAGGGAGGCTGCCGAAGTACCGTGACTGTTTCTAAGAGTGGCTTTTTAGATTTTCGGGTTTACATGGCTGGGGTGGGCCTTGTCCCTCATCCCCTGGAGACCAGCTGGGGTGCTGGCACCCGCGTTTCCAGTCCTGAGCTGCCTCGGTCGCACCGTCTGGTGTGAAGTGTGGGCTGTCCTGCTCTCCCGTGCCGGGGGTCTGCACTCGGGGGCTGTCCAGTTACGTCCAGCTCTTCCCTGTCTGCTCCAGGCCCAGGGAAGAGCAGGACAGTGGGCAACGTCTGACCTGAACTCAGGACAGAATCCTGCATGAGAGAATCTGGATTCTGTTTCCCAGGAGAAGGCACCAGTAGGTCAGGCCCTGCTTCTCGTGGAGGCTCCTCTCCGACCTCGCCTCTCAGGAGGAGGTGCCGTCCGAGAGTGCAAGCCCGGCCTGGCACATGCACCTGTGCCCCTTCTGGTGTCTTGTACCACGTGCCCAGGTTCGGAAGGGTAACGGTCTGTGGGCTGAGGAACGAGGCTCTCCCGGAGGCTGCCCGCCCGCCCGCCCGCTGGGCCCATCGCTGAGGTGCTTCCCAGTGGGCTTGCTTCTGCCTGGCCAGCGCCTGGCCGCCCAGCTTGTCCTCGGCCTGCCTTTGCTTCCCAAGCTTCCCCGGGCGGTCCTTCCGAAAGCTTGTACGAATTGCTGTGACTGTCTCTTTATAGTTTAAAAATGAATCCTTTTTTGTTCTTTGCAACTCATTTGCTTTCTTTTCTTTTCTGTTCTTTTCTTTTAATTCCTATTAACACCTGTTGAACCTTTTTTTTTCTG